ATGGTACCAGTGTAGAGGATGGCTGGGCCAGAGTGGCCTGGAGACAGGGAGACAAAGGAGAGCTGGCGAGGGATGACTTAGCACACTGGTAGTCGAGAGAGAAAGAGTCGAGTAAGAAAGAATCTGTTAAGGACAGAGACAGAGCCTGGCTTGGTTACCAGATGGCAGAGGTCTGGCAGTGGAGAGTTAAAGATGACAATATAGTGCAAACACAGGGTGGTGTTTATAGCAAAACCACCAAAAGATGCAGAGCTGTCAGGAAAGAGAGCCCCTGAGGAGGAAGAGGGCATGTAAACATTGCAGAACCCCACATACAATCCAGCACCCTACAAGCCATGTGGTTATGCTGGAGTTATGGACAAGGTGGACACATGACTAGTTTTTATATGGGTATGTCGAATTTGACTACCAAGGGGTTATGCTCAGGGGGTGGGTCCCACAGGTGCACAGAACACACATGGCCTCTGCTCACTAATCACTGGGGGCAGGGACACAGGAAAGTGACTCCACTGGGAGACCCTCTCTGCAGGACTAATTTCATATTCTGAAAAGACATTAACATTGGCTGGCTGGGGATACTCTTGAAATGTTTCCAGCTTTATTGGGGGAAAAGGCAGCCAGAGAAACTCTTCCTTCTGTGTCCATTAGCATGATTAATAATAAATATTCTCAGGCACTTGATATTGGCAAGATACCATATTACCTTTATCCTGAGCTGTCTAGTCTGACCTCAGAGGTGCAGGGGTGACACAATCTTAAAAATGCCTCTCCTTCCTTGGGCTCAAGACTGTCAAATTGGTGGGAAAAAGGTTGACTTTGGACTCATAAGACCAGGGCAAAATCCCTGTCCCATCAACAGACTATGCAACTTCTGGTTAAGGCACTTCTCTCCTCAAAGCCTTAATGTCATTTTCTATCACGTAAGGGTTTGATACCTGTACCAAAAGTTTGCTATGCCAAATAAAATGTAATAATGTGTATAAAAAAATAATGATGTGTACTATGCCTGACCCTTAGTTGCCAGTAGTAGCTTTCATTTTTCCTCTGGGGAAAACAAAAGTCACATTCTGTAAACACCTAATGGCACACGCTCTGTGGCAACAGTGCAATCTAGTGGAACACTGTGGAGAGGACACAGGAAAAAGGATGGAATATCTAGATCTGGTCTCAATTGTGGTGTGTAGACTGCCACTGACTTGCAGCATGACACTTGTGGAAACCCCACTTTCCAATGTTTACAAAGGGACTAGGAATAGATTCACTGATTATATGGGAAAGAAATTGTACTCCAATGAGTTGCTGTTACTGCTGGCATGTGTCACATTCTTTTGGTTTGCTTGGGTTGAGAGAAGGTCTCTGTGGTCCAGGCTTCTCTGAGACCAGCAGCTTCCACTATGCAGTCATTTAGGACTGGAAAGTACCTTGAAGGCCACCTGTCCAAACATCTCCATGCTGTTCTTTTCACTCCCTCCTCTTATTGCATACACATGCCCTGGATCCAAATTCCTGTAACAATAACATCAAACTGACTTTTAGACAAATCATTTCACTCTTCAGAGCCTTAATATTCTCATTTCTACTTCTATAGGTCCTTGTGACAGTTACATGAAGTTAGACAATGAAATGGCTTCTCTACTGCTCAGCATATGATAGGTGACTCAATGTTATCTTTTGTCTTTACATCCAATGCAAAGCTTTTGTTTCTAAGAAGTGGGTTAAAGACTGAACGTAAGATTCCCCTCTTGCTACAGTTTTGTACCATGAAAATCTCTTCTCTTTGGGAAGACATCAGTCTATTTTACTTATTCTCTTGTTTGGACAAAGGACACAGCTAGCCACATGCTTAGGCTATTGACCTTGGGAAGGAAGAGAGAATGTATGTTTTGGACTGTATGTCTTGGAATGTGTGGCTTCAAGCTAATATTAATCCACATCCCTCTGCCACACTTTTCTCTTATATAAATGGAGAAGAGAAGGGTTATCTCAGAGGCTCGGTTAATTCTTCCCAAAAGCTTCATCAAGATTATTGTCCTGAGTGAAGATTTAATTTAGATGTAAGGGAGGACTTCCTAGCAATTTTGAAGTAAAACCCAGCCCTTAGAAAGTTCTGAGTGATGAAAACCTTTCAACTGCTACTATCTACTGATTTATTAGGGGAGGGGTGCTTCTTTTCAAATCTATCCCTGAGATTCAAGACTGTTTCCTATTTAGTTCCTCTCTGATAATGCCTCTCCTATACCACTGTGTCCTCTGAAGGAGGAATGCCATTTAGAACACACATATTCTTTATTGCAAGTCCAATCTCATCTGTTTCCATAGGTTTTCATATAAATCAGTATTTTGCTTGCCTTTCCTTTAATTGCGCCATTTAGACTTGTTGCTGCTATGAAGCAATCCTGGGAATCCTCTATGAACCCTGAGATTTTTTACCTTATGTGTGAGACTAAAATCAAGGCCAAATCTTCTAACCACTGATTCAGTTGTTCAAAACTTCCTTGGATTCCAGCTCCAGAATGTTTCTGTAACCCTCTTTGCTCATACTGACCTTCACCTAACTTGATTGCTAGATGAGTAAATGTTTTGTCTCTCCTTGAACTCTCTAAATCAAGCTCTTCTAAAAATCCAAGTGTCTCTATAACTCCTACATCTCCAATTACTCAGGATAACCAACACATGTGGGGATATTTAGCCTTTATTTCCATCCATGTTTTTTTCACTGCAAATACTGTCATAAGCTTCATCATATCTAAACCTAAATGTGAAGATTACTCAGGCTCCAGAAATATTGAACTAATTCTTAATTTACACAGTATCATGATAGAAAATAGAGTGGGTTGGGGGAGATCAGATACATATAATGCAGATATATGCATTAAGTATTTTACAAAGAAGCAACAAAGTTGTGTTTTCCTTTCCATCCCATCTTGAAGAATAAGAGAACACCTCAGTTGATTGCTTTATTCTGGACACAGGGGATTTGTATCCTTCCTAGCTAGAAAGTTTCAAGTCTAATCTTCAAGCAATGTCTAACTATTTGACCAAAATTACTATAACCAGTTCATGTCTGTGAAATGGGTGGGGCACCTACTGTTAAAATTTCTTGCTAGTGTTACTGCAACAGCTTTAATGGAGTTCTTTGTCTTCTCTATTACCTCCTGAATCCAAACTCCATAATGGTTGCCCAACCTCGATTAAGTCCTTTCTTCTATCCCATGCTTGCTTCCTTTGACCTCAGTGGGGGCTGGATTAAAGAGTCTCTAAAAGTTTATGTTTTCCTTCTATTTCCCAATCTTCTCCCCATGTGATCTCTTACTTTCCCAGGCCCTCTTTCTAGCTTTCACAACTGCTGAACATCCCTCCCCTGCTTGGACTAATGTGGCCCTTTCTCCATTTAATAATTGCATTCAGTTGCTTGACATGCCCTAACCAACTCTCTTTTGTGTATGTGTGTTGGGGTGATGTTGGCCTGGGATCTGGGGAACAACACACTCCCCAAATCAGGGAATGCAATGGTTGCCAATCATATACTTTGAATATGCCATTGCCATTGTTTTCATACACATTCAAGGAATTCACTGATTCCCCTCATGCACCTTCTTCTAGAACTCACAGGGGTCTGGAACTAGACTTTGTGCCTAAAAAGGGAGAGACAGTTGATTGGAAACCTAGCAACAACGAATCTTGGAGGCAGTGAGAAAAACCAAAACACAGTGACTCACTGTCATTGTAGAGTTGAGAATGCAGGGGAACAAGGAATTGTGCTGCTGATTCTTGAGTGAGAATGCAAGGTCCATCTTTTACAGTCCATCTAGACATGTTCTTACCCTAGAATGTCTACCTCCCTCTCTTATCATTTTATAATATCAAATTGGGAAAGGACCTTGGTAACCCAGAAATCCAATCCTTTTTTGTTACAGAAGAGGAAACAAACTCAGAGAGGGAAGGGACTTACCAAAGTGGAACACAGTGCTCACAGAGAATAATTGGAAAACTACTACTAGGTGTTTTGGTAGGTAGCTAGGTAGGGTGTACCGTCCCCTTCTACTCTCTTTATTTGGCTTTCCATGCTCAGTGTGCCCTACCTCAAAAAGGATACTCACATCATGTCTCTACTTATAGTTGCCAGATAGAATAAAAAAGCAGTATCGCCAACCCCCTTTCAAACTAAAACTCATACTTAACCAGATAACTGCTACAGTCTAAAAACACTGATGTTCTGAGATTCTCTGACAGTGACAACAAGTAGAAACGGAGCTGACAGACACAAACCAAGGGCAGACTGGGGGTGCATCTAATTTATCAGAGAGATAAATTAGTCATTGAATGTTTTGGGGAGGGGCTAAAGGATTTGAGAAAGCAGACACTGGGATTTGAAGGAAGGAAAATTAGTAGAGGATAGATATGGAGAAAAGGAGTCTACTATAGAAAATGAGGATTGAGTAAGTGTGGGGAAGCCCAGAAGAAAAGAATGGATTAAGTGTTGGACAGCTGAGGGATTTTAGCCAAGGGAAGTTTCAGGGTGGTGACCTTGGAGGAGTTGTCAGGGACATCAGATTTGTGTTGTTCCAGAGAACAGAAATGAGGCTCAAGGGCAGAAAGCCATGGAGAAAGATGTTCAGATACACACAGGAAGAACTTTGAGTATCAGATTTGTCTCGAGAGGGAACCTGGTGTCCTGAAAGGCAGTGAGATCTCCATCAGTGGAAAGTCTCAGTCAGGAACTGTTTATTCATAACCAAGGTGCAACCCAGGATCCAGCACTGCTTGGGAGTGGGACCTGCCAGCCAGGCCGCAGAAACCTAAGGGTCTTGAAGGGATTAGAAGCTAGGCAGGGTGGGCCCAAGTAGAGGGTGGGACTTCGGGGCCCAGCCTAGACCCCACGTGGTTGCAGTGGTTGGGCCGGACTGGGCGGGGCCCAGAGAGGCGCAAGCCGCAAGGAGGCGGTGCGAGGGCGGGAGCGGCGCGGAAGCTCGGCCACATAAAGAAGCGGGCGGCGCGACGGGGGCGGCTCTTTCCTGGGTGGGGTTTGTGGAGTCGTGGCCCGTTAGCAGGAAGCAGAGCAGTCGCTCCGACGCTTGCGAGACACCCAGTCCGACCCCCAGCTGCCAGAGTCCGATCTCTGTGTATTGCGTGCTCAGCGCCGCCGAACAGCTCCCAACCAAACTTCGCCAACTCGGTCGACTTTGCCACCACCATGCCCAAGACGGTGAGTGCTAGGGTGGGCGCCGCAAGCCTTAGGGGGTCCAGCTGGCCCCTGCCGTCCCTAGCAGAAGTCTGGGGACTTGGCCAGTCTCCCGCTGGTTCACCTGGGACGCCGCGTCCTCAGCGAAGGCCCGTGGTGGGGAGACCAGAGCACATCCTGGACCGGCGCGCCCTCGGCGGGTGAAGGGATTGTTCCCTTGAAGTGTGGACCGGGAGGGGCCGGTCTTCTCAGATTACATTTCCCTGCTTTTGGGATGCGACTGTAGGGAAGGTTTTTTGGGGGCTCGAGGTCTCTCCTCTTGCCCTATATGGGCCAGTGGGTGCTGAGGAGAGGGCTCTTGCGAACACTTCCCCTACCCCAGAAGCTGGCGCCTTTTGGGGGCAAGGTTGCTACTGTTTAGAAGGGGTGAAGGAAACTGAGAAGCAAGGAAAGCTGAGAGCAGCGCAGGGTGGATCCTTCACCCCCACTTACCTTTCCCACAGTCGCCCCAGGCTGAGAGCTCCAGCTCTTTTCTTCAAGGAAGGGAATAGAGAGTTAGTTGTTGAGGGACTCATAGAGGCTCCTTGTATTTTTGCCCAGGAGGGCTAACACTTTACTAGATACTAGTCTGAGGAGAAGTGTGCCCCATCTCTAAAGGAGAGATTTATTTCTAACTCCTTTTCACTGGCCAAATCCCTGTCCTCTCTGTTACTTAATGGCTGTCTACCCTTGTCCCCTCTGGACTGTTCTGTGAGCTGTGGATTCTCCTGTGGGTCCACACCTTTCTAGAGAGTGGTGGTAGTTTCTGAGATCTGGTCTTCACCCACTGGATGTTAGGAGAAACACAGAAACTTCATAGGAGTGGGGTCTAGGGGGCTCCAGATACTCAGGAGGGCGGGGTGGTGCCTCAATAATGAGTTCTGCTTGATTTTGTGCAAGTCATGCCAAATGGTCACTGGAGTAGTCCCTCCTAAGGAAGGCCTGAAGACGGCCCTGGCTTGAGTCCATTAGGCCAAGCAACATACTGGGCTGGCCTAGGCTTTCCAGTGTTTTCTATAAAACTGCCTGAACCTTATAGAGCTGAGATAGTGACTAGTATCCTTGAAGGGTTGAGAGACCCTGGGATCAGAGGCTCTGAGGGTCCCAGTTCTTTGGGTGTGCTTGAGCTTTCATTATGCTGTATTCTGGCCTTATTACCAACTCATTCTTGCCTTTCCAGGACCCTTGTCCTTAAGAAATACCAAATTTTCAACAAGTATGTGCTTCTACTACCTCTTTAAACTTGTTTGTGGTTTCATGGCAAAGGGCTTTTCCAGGCACCCTTTCCTTCATACAAAGTGAGAGACAATGGTTTTGAAAAGAGAGGGAAAAAACTCACTGTCTCTGCCAACATGCAAGATTATAAATATTCCTATAGGAGCCTCTTTTTTTTTTTTGGTTTTATCTTTATGCAGTTGATGCCTGAACTCTTCTTTAGGTGTGAATTTGCCTAAATAGATGGACAAGTCTCGGAATAGACTTGACTCTGACTCATGACCTCTCTTCTCATGGCATCTCTCATCCTGATTTAAAGATAACCTCACCTTTAAATGGGCCTGCAAGTTGTCTCAAAGTTGCCTTTACTATTCCATCTCAGTTAAAGGTGGCAAAGGAAACCTTTATAAGCTGTTTGAGATCAGACCAAGGGTACAGAAGGTATCTGAAGACTGAAGGCATTTTTATGGAAATTGACTGAAACTTAGAAGGTGAGGGTTGAATTTTGATAAGACTGCATGCTTTGGAGACTTGTCCAGTTTGGCTAAAGTTATGGTCAACTTTTAGGAGAAACAACTATGTCTGGTATCTTGGAATCTTAACTTGAAGAGGATTTTAGAGACTAACTCCTCCCATTCCCTCCCATCCAGCCCCCCAGAGGCGGAGGAGGAGGAGATTTAAACCTACAGGAAAAGACATAGGCTTTCAGTGACTGAGTTTTTGAAGTTTTTTCCTCTCTCTTGGCTAAAACAAATTACCCCCTGTACTTACTGATCTTTAGATTAAAAAGAAGTCAATAATTTGGGCAAATAAGCAATGTTGGTATTTGTTTTGTCTTCCAGTGAGAGCTAGAGGTGTTACAAGGTGACTGCTGTTAGTTTTCTCATTCTTCATCCTGATAGGCTTCTGGGGCACTCCCTAGGTCACTGCATACAGACTAGTAACTTTAACAAAGGGGGGAAATTCCCTATTCTTCACTCCTTCACTATGTGCTTTAGGCTATTTCTGGATTATTGCATATAGGGAAGGGTAGTAGAAAAATCTCAATTGCCCTAGCCACACCCCCCTCCCTTTTTCCAGTTATTGGATTCTGCTTCTGCTTGTTAGTTTCCTGAGTCTGTTTTAGTAACCAGAATGGAGAAGCTTATAAACTGCCAATTATACTTTCTGATGACATAAGACAGTTTCTAACAACAACAAAAAAGTATTTTTTCCTATCCTCACACTCTTGAACTTTTTTTAGACTACAAAAGCTTTAAGACTCTCTTGGATTCCCTAAAAAGAATCCAAGAGATGATTTTTGAATTTTCACAGTGTTTTTGAGATTTAATTTGTTAGACTTGAAAAAGCTCCTCCCAACTTTTCAGGTGCAACCCCTCCCATTGTGTAGATGGGGAAACAGACCTACATATAGGGAGGGAGAGACTGAACTAGAAAGATGCAGCATGTCAGAAGCAAAGCTAGGACTTGAATCTAGGTCCTCATAATTAAGGTTTGTTCATTTATTCATTTTGTTCATTTACTTATTTATGCATGCATGCATACAAGAACTGGGGTATAGGCCAGAGGGGCTGGTGTGAGAGGATGCACTAGAGACAGAGTGGGGAGTAGAACAGGCAGGTTGACTGAAATACACTGCTGTGGAGAACAGTGGGTGGGTCAAGAGAGGTGTTCTGTGCCATGTGGGTCAGCTCCCTGGCAGGGGGTCAAACTTGTGCTGCAATGGCTGTTCATAGGTTCATAGTGCTGTGGTGTAACTCCTTGTGCCACCAGGGAGGCCCCAAGAAGTTCAGTCTTGATAAAACTTCAGTTTTCCAGGGTTTTAGACCTAGCTCAACAATTTTAAAGGGAAAGGTGACAAGAGGTCATTAGTGCTCATCCATGTGAGCAGATGTAGAGCCCAGCTCCTTAAAGTATTTGAAGGCTTCTAGTTCTTTAGTCAGCTAAACTTTAACAGGGGCTATGTGGACTCTTTATGCTCCTGCCATTCCTAACATTGCTTGAGCCACTCAAGTGGCACTAAAATGGTACTTGGTGAATAGGAGGTAGAGTCTCAATCTTTTAACCCTTGAGCCAGCCCTTCCTACAGACTTCAGCATGGAACAAGGGATCAGAAATGGAGATTATGTGAGAGAGGCTGACTTTGTTTTTGCATCTCTATTTCTTTGGTTCTACAGAAAGTGTAGTGCTAAAGACAGCAGGAATCATTTTAGATATTTTCTTTAGACTTGAATATTCCTCTTAAGAGAGATAGGGACTGGTGGGGCAGGAGGGCTTTCGTGAGATCCTTGGAGGAGTAGGAGAGGTACTTGTTCTGTGAGTGGGTGACACATCTGGTATTAACCACTGGTTCGCTAATTCTCTATTTTTTAGTTACTTGTACCAATAGTTTGTTTTATGTGTATTATTCTCTCCTTTCTCTTCCTCCCCTCAGGAGAGTTTTATTAAATGGTGGATCTGGTAGGGACATCTAGTCATCTGGTTTATCTCTCTGACTCCAAATCTAGTTCTCTGAATAAAATGAGATGACAACTATATTTATTTTGAACTCTGTTTTAGTGGGGTTGCATGGCAATTCTGTTTAGGTCCCTTTCAGTGGAAGTCCACCCTACTGAAATTTCTAAACTCAAGTTCTTCCAAGGGGAAAGCTAAAGTTGTCAGAATCTGGCATCATTACATTATAGGTTTTGAACAGCCTATTTCTGATCTTTCAAAGCTACAACTGTAGTCAGCTAAACTACATATTGCCCTATTCACGATCTTTTCTCCTACTACCCCAGCCTATTCTGCCCCCAAATTAGAGTACAAAGGTAGTCTTCTTTGGGACAGTCTGTTGATCAAGTGAAGGAGGGAGGTGGTCTTACCATGATTGACTGACTTTGCTGTTCATCATTCCTCACATTTCATGCTTGATAGAGCTGAAAAACTTTGCAATTCCAGGTTCTGATTTGTGGTCCAGGAGCAGTCAGTTGGAGGGTTAGTTCAGGACTTCTTTGATTTGCCGGGTGGGTGGTGAGTGCTGGGAAATGGGAAGTAACATTAGCTGGAATTTCTCTTTTCATACAAGAAAAGTGATACAAATGAAGTGGGTAGGTAAGTTCTTTATTGGGGCCATCAGTCTCTCCAGCTTGTTATGAGTGAACTCTCCAGCTTGTTATGAGGCACTATAGAGCCTTCTAGTACTGATGCTCTTTGAGAGCCTTGGTGGTTCAGCCTCAAGCTTTCCATTGTTAAGTTTATCCCTTCAGACATTTTTCAAAATTTTAATTTCTTCTATGGGCCAGGCAGCTACTAGGCTATGACAGGATCACAAAGTTGTATGAACTTGCTAAAATGTATCTTGTCCCCCACACCTCTGGAGTGTTGTTCCTGCCTGGGTACTGCTTTCATAGTGGAGAGTTTCTACTTCAGGAATTTTGTTTCATTAGTAGCTCTGAGGAGAACACTGGCATGAATGTTATTAGTCATTCTTTCTTGAGTCTGTAGAAGGGAAAGGGCTATGTTACTCCTTATAGAGAAATAAGAAAGAGACCCAATGAGACTAAATTGAGAAGACTCTGGGTTGAGCGAAGAGAATCAGAAACACTGAAAACTTAATAGATTTTACTCCCATCTCACTGCCTGGCTATCTAGACAACTTGTAGTTCTATTAAAAGACCAAGAATCTACCAGGTTGTGTTTCATATTTAATTTTAACATCCTGAGTATGATAGTTAGCAATATTGGTAGACATTGAGGAGCTGGTAGGCATAAACAACCTCTTAAACTAT